ACCGGTTTATAGGATTAAGAATTTGTTTTAGCCTGGTCACACATGTTTACATACTAATCTTACTCCTGGGCTCCCGGGGCCCGTCGACCGTCACTTTAATGGCTTTCAAATAGACCCCCACTTGAGGTGGGTTTGTGCTCAACGTTATAGTCAATGAGAAACTTTTTCCTAAAATTAGTTTCAATTAAATTTTTATTTACTTTTTATGCATTAATTGATTGGAATTTTGTGTATATTATATATTTATAAGTCTAATTTAAAATATTTATTATATTATTACTATACTATTACTATATTATCATATACATATACAGTAGTACATTGTATATTGTAACCATACAGTATATTCTGATAATGCATTTTTGATTTATTTCATATCTAGAACTTATACAGAATCTAAATATAATTTATATGTTGTATGTATTCGTATGAATCGTAAGCCATGCCTTTCGCCACACTATTTATCCCAACCCTTAGCATAGAATATGTGTTTTTAGGAAACATTTTATGCAAATTTTCAACATCCCATGAGTCAAACATCGGGATAACTGATTGAATTCACGCTTTCATATGATATGTATATGTGAAGTGCTCTTTAATACCACTAAAACTGTTTTTATGCCAAATATACGTATCGATAGGTCCCTACATTTGCACACATTTTAAGCATTCAATAAACGCGTCAATGATTTTAAGCCTATTTTTTATGCAAACAATCAAAACTTTTAAAACACAAGTTTCACTTCAAAAGGATTGTCAAATACAGTATTTGGTATATATTTTATAATATTAAAAATAATTCAGTAATATACTAATAATTAATCTAAATACCCTATACAGAATACTGAGAACTATTATCGTAAATCATTAAAAATGGACATACTACTTTGTAAATGTCATATAATATGAATTTAATTGAAATTTAACAATATCCAATAACTTATATAAAATTCAACGATATTCGTGATAATCATAATACTAGTATTGAAAACTTTATTAACCTTAGTTAACCATTAGTTAATTTATAGCTTATAACTTAGTTAGTGGATGATTGTGTCGGGTGTAGTACTAACCCCGTCCGGACCTGCCGACAAACCTAAGGTCATTGAACTTGGCGACCTGGTTCTTCATGATGGCGGAGGCATTCCTGAGTTCTCCGCACCAGTTCTCGTCATTGCCCGCCTTAATCGTGACTACCGTTCCGTCCGACACCTCTCCCAACGCCACCACTTTGAAGGCCACGGGAAGCGTCTTATTGGAGCGCCAGTGGGTCGGGAGGGCCGAGCAGATGATGTTTGGGCTCCCGGTGC